ATATATGTACAGAGGTCTGTGTATAGAAAAATAGGTATATTCTTTGTTTCCCTGTATTGCTCCTGGCAGGCTTGCCAATAGTGGAGAAACATTCTGAACTTAGTAGAGGAGAATTGTGAATAATAAAGGAGAATTGTGAATAATAAAGAGAATTGTGAATAATAAAGAGAATTGTGAATAATAAAGAGAACAAAGCCCGTCTGTCAATTGGAGAAATCTTCTGCTTCATGTCGACTGGAATAGTTTGAGTTAACTGAATGCAGAACCAACAAAATCTGACAACTCTGACAACTCACTGTACAAGACAAAAGTAAATGTTTAGTTTTTGAGCTTGTATTTTTTACAGAAATAATTGAGAATAATTTTGTGAGTGAGAAAATGTTCCCGTCATGTTTCTGTTGATGGTCGTCCGAGTCCAGCGTGGCTGAGAGCCAGGCAGTTGTCCTTCCACTAGGCTCCTGATGGTGAGGCTTTTCAGCTCTGGGCGGCGGCGGATTTATCCACGGAACTGTCCGTGAATGGTTCCGCTTACTCTGTAGGTTCAGTGAGGGTCTGTCTCATTGTGAGCTGAGAATATTTCACACGATATGTCTCAGTTATGGCTCAGTTATGGCTCAGTTATGGCTCATTTAGGTTCTCTTTATGTCTCATTTCCTGAGATGTCTTGGGATGTCTTGTATTGGGAAAATAAACAGGATACAATTTGCCACAGCCTTTTATTTTGAGATGAGTTTATTTCTGGTTCCTGTTTGTTTTGTACTTTCACACGTTGTTTTGTTATCGCACGTCGTTTGGTTATCAACTTTTTCTGTAGTATCACACGTCGTTTTGTTATCAACTGTCTCCACTTTCTCTGTGACTGTAATATCGCACGTCGTTTTGTTATCGCACGTCGTTTTGTTATCAAATTTCACTGTAATATCACACGTTGTTTGGTTATCAACTGTCTCCACTTTCTCTGTGACTGTAATATGACACCCTGCTTGGTAGAGCGGGGAAGTTTGTGGCTTATTGTGGAGGGGAAGGAGACTTTTCCCTGACAGATGTGTGGACAGTTTGCGTCTGTTTGATTATGTGCTGGGCTGGGTGGACAGAAAGGTGTTTGATTATGTGCTGGGCTGGGTGGACAGAAAGGTGTTTGATTATGTGCTGGGCTGGGTGGACAGACAGGTGTTTGATTATGTGCTGGGCTGGGTGGACAGAAAGGTGTTTGATTATGT